AACTGCGGCAGGTTCCGTGTTCTCAATGCCTGCTGCACTACATCCGTGAGATCCAGTTTGCCGCCCGGGTCGATTTCTTGACTCACGGGCAGCACCCAGCGGCCGTCGTCGTGATACTGCGCGAACAGGCTCTCCAGCATGGTGGTCTTCCCGGTTCCCTGCGCTCCACTCACGACCAGAAAGGAGGGGCTTGTTTTTGGAAAGGGACCTGGGCTGTCGACGAAGGCCTTGATAATTGCCTTCTCTGGTCGCTCCACGACACGCACGCTTTTGGCTTCGTCCGACATCTGCTGTCCTGCAGAGCGGATGGCTCCCTTAAGCTGTCGCATGGGAAGGCGCCAAGGCGGCAGCTGCGACAACAGCAACTTGGCGAGAAAACCCACCCCTCCAGCAGTCACTACCAGATCGCGGGCTGCGCGCAAGCCCCAGATCTGCATTTGCACCCTTGACCTGCCGGCTCGGCACTCTCGGCCTCTCGCAGGCAGGCCACATGGCGGCGCGGCGGGCCAGCTGGGGCCCGGGCAAGCTACAAACATCTTCGCCTAAGGGCAATGAGCCCCCTAAGCCCCCGACCCCTTGAACTCCTTAAGGCCCTTTACCCTAAACCCTAAACCCTAAACCCTAAACCCGAAACCCTAAACCCCCAAGGCCCTTTAAGCCCTAAAACCCTCAAAAGCCAAAGGAAGCTGCGGAACAAACAAACAGCGCTGCACACTCTCCAGTGCTGGCATGCTTCGCGCAAGGCAACTCGGCACTGGACCAGGCCTGGGATCGCTGAACAGGCGGGAGATGTACTTCTCGTAGGCATTGAAGGAGAGGCACTGAGCAAACACATAGGCAATGCCCCTGCGACGAAGTGCCTCTTGGACTTGCAACGCGCTATGAGTTGGCATACTCATGGCATCATCCGTTTCTTTGATCACCAGCTTGGAACTTTCAAGTTCCAGCTGGCGGGATGCACCTCGGGAGTGGGTGACTTCGTGCGTTCTTGAGACACAACGATCAGGGCTGAGGTACTTCAGCTGGTTGGCAGATTCCTGCCTGACGCAGTCTTCCAAGACGCATCTCCCGGGTTCCATGCCTCCTTCAATGAGCACACCCGGAAGCCGACCCCTGAGGTGTTGCAAACGCCTGTCCCGTTCCGCCTCCGGCATTTTCCTGGAGGCTCCTTCTGGATCGGAAACTTGCAGGCGCAAGTCACCAACACCAAGGTTTGCGCTTCGAAGACTAGGCGGCGTATGCAGGCCTTGCCAGCCGCATTGGCTCCAGGCGTGGTAGTTGTGCAGAAGGCATTGAAGGCTGACTCAGGAATGACCTGGCCAGGCTGGCCCACAGCATAAGCCAGTTGTCCCAGGCTAGTGAACCCACCAACACGAAGCTCCGCTAGCACATCATCGGGGCATTTGATCTCGCGGGCGCGCTGGATGAAGTGGGCCTCAGACTCAATCAAGGAAGACATGGCACGGGAAACTACGCTGCTCAGTCGAAGAAGAAATCACACCTGATCACATCAAATGCGCAACATGGTAGAAGACACAGTACAAACACCACACAACACTGTGCACCACAAGTAACATGTCCACTCTCTACTACTGCGAGCCTGGGGTTGAAACATCACATTCACAACCCAACACGCACATGCTGAATGCGTGGCCCCTGGGCCCCCATTGCCCATAAAGCCCCTTGGCTAGGCATTGGCACCATGTGCCACAAGGCTCATAAAGGAACCATGTCCTTGCCTTGAATCCAACAATCCGACATCTAGTCGGCAACAGCACAAACTGCAGCTCACATTTCCTCACATTAGCCCATGGGCACACATGTCGCTACCATGTAGCAATCTCTTTTCTTCGCCATAGCGATCGGAAACGAACACAAACTTCCTCCAACCACACCGCATCACAGGTTGCGCTTACATGTGCGACACTCCGGATTCATAAGATCCTCCTCTGAAGGCAAGACATACATTGCCGTGCGCGGGCGCCCACACACAAGAATGTTGTCGCCATAGGCATGGTGAAGAACTCCAGATCTGGAGTGTTTTACCCATGTACCAGTGCCTTGTACAGGGTTCACACTGGGAACAGCCGCCCGGTCGTCAACACGCACGGGGTCGCGCGGAGTTTGCGATTCACTTGACCCCGACGACTCACTCGAGCTATCGGAGGAAGATGACTCTTCTTCACCGGAGCTTTCAACCTTGATAGCAGGTGTCAAAGAGGCATTAAGGTTTGCCTGAGTTGACAACAAGCCCTTGCCCTGCATTGGCCCGTCCGGGGGAGGCGGCTGAGGAGGGAACGCCCACATTTGCCCCCGAGCTGCATCAGGAGAAAACTCAAGCTGTCTGATGGCATCCAAGACTGTTTCCATCTCCCGCACGGGCCCCATGCTTAGCTCAACAGAGTACACAGCTTCAGTTCCTTCAACAGCCGTGACATGCCTGCCCAAACAAGAGCGAACCTCCTTCTTGGATCCAGCCTTGCTGGTCCAAGAGATGCACGTTCTCTTCAAGCTGTGCGAGGACACAGCATTATCTCTAAGTGCGAGCCTCAAGAAAGTTGAAACTTCCCCCGACGTAATGGCCCTGCGACCCAGCACCCCACTGGCTAGTGGTGGACGGAAAAGCGCAGCACCAACATGCCCTTGCAGCAGAAGACCAACTTTCTCAAAGGCACACTTACATGATTCGAACCACTCATGATCCGAGATTCCACGCAACGGAATCAAGATTGGGAGCAGCTGAGCGACCCTTCTGGCTGCCCTGGCAGTTTTATGCTGCTTGACCCGGATCACCACGTAGCCATCACGACCTTCTCCATCCACGTCAACGTATGCCACCTTGCGGAAATCAGATTGTCTAGCACGTGCATACAAGCACAAAAGGCAATATCCAGCAAAGGCCCGATCCCAATCCGAGGTACCTTGTCCATGCAACAGCGAATGAAGGATGCGAACTTGCGCCACGGTGAGTGGGGGCGCTTGCTTGAGGTCCCCAAGGTTAGCCAACATACGCTCAGCTGCACCAACACACTTGCGGCTTATTTTGTTAGGAATGTTAATAACATCCATCACGAAATAAGCAAAACGCAAGGCGGACAAGAAGGAAGAGGCTTTGGATGGCGGGGCCTGCGAGCCATCCAGGAACTGCATGTACCTCCAGAACATGTCATCAGTGAAGGGGTCGAGGTTGGCACCAACAATGGTATCAAACCACCTCAGGAACGTGAGGATGCTACCTGCTCTCTTGGAGGCTGTTCCTGCGGCCCTCGACCCAATGCATGCCTCCAAAGCCTGTGGATCAACCTCGCACTCCGGGTGCATCTTGCGGTTTCTCTGCATGATTACGATCCACTTATCAACTGCAAGCCTCACCGCTTTACGTTGCTGGGCATCAACGTCCACATCGGAGAGGACCTTGAAAACAGTTGACGCAAGGTCTCCAGGCACGAACGGCTCCTGCGGTTCATCCAAGGAGGCGAATGGATTACACGGAGGCGATTGAGGAGTCCAGACTTCCGCCTCACGCATTGAAAGGGGTGGCATTTTAAGCTCCGAAGACACCGAGGACTCACCAAAGATTGCACTAACAGCAGGCAGCTCCCACGGCAACACAACGTCAGACAAGCCCCCATCCGCTAAACGTACAAAGTTGTCAGCAAATACATCACCCACGGTGCGCGCCACTTTGGCTGGAGGCTCGCTAACAGTAAGTTTCTCAGTCTCGGCTAACTGAGAGTCTTCCCCAGTGGCGTCATGTTCTGCTGACTGACTCAACAGATCATCACGCGCACATGACCGGCATGAGGTATGCTCAGAGCTGAGCTCAGACATGTCAGGGTTGACGTCAACCATAAAGTCTTCCACCGCCGAGACAGGGGAGTTTTCATCTCCCCAATCTAGGGCATCAGCTTCCGCATCCGACGGCCTTGGCAACACCAACAACGGCCCAGAGGACTGCACGCTAGACCCAAAGGGGGCAATTCGAGGTGAGCGATCGAAAGGACTGGCGGTCCATCATCTTCGCTGACATGGCCGACCGAAAAATCATCCCTCTCTATATCCGGCAGACCCTCTTCAGACATGGCAGCAGCAAGAAGGCAGTCAACCTTGCAGAGGAAGGAGTTGGCGGTAACACGACTGCACCCAATGGGCAGCAGCACTGAACTGGTTCCAGTCAGACACCGTGAGGCAGAGAAGGAACCTGGCCCCTTCACTCCGACTAACGAGGAGGCCACGGAAGCTGGGTTCAACAATGTAGCTGAAAATATCAGGCGGCGCCTCAAGGCGGCGTTGAAGGTCAGGCACGTGATAGTGCAGGGGTCGAATGCGAACAGGCGCAAAGACAAAGGATGGCACAGGCACTCGAAAGTCGTCTGATGACGACGTGGATGCACTGGATGCTGAAAGGTCCATCCACCCCCCGATCACGGGGAAGCTTGCACGAAACTAAAGTCTTAAGCACCTGGTTCAGAGCCACTAGACTAGAAGCGGCCTCGAGCCTTCAAAATTTTTCACTGAGCTGTGGAGCCAGCGCTGCACACACAGAGCTCCAGCAAACGCATTTGCAAATTGTCGTTCGCAATACCAGGCATGTCAAGCATTGGAATGTTTCGACCAGACAAGCAGCCCAATCCAAAGGTATGTCTGTGGACGCGCTTGATATGGCACGCAGTACACTGGGTAGAGGCTCCAGGGTGGGTCTCCAAGCCTGCAGTTCTGACCGGTGCCCCAGTAAACGAAGCAGAAGTAGGGACCATGTCCACTGCACTCGCATGCTAGATCGCGGCATAAGATGGTGCATTCCTTGTGCCAAGTGGATCGTCCATGCTCCACTTGGGTACGCAGGTATGCTTGACTGTCAATCATCCCTCCTGTGCGAAGACTTTTCTGCTGTAGAAAAAGCGAGATGCTTTGCTCGTGACAAATACGCAAACACAACAGGCAGTCCCGTTGAGTGATGGGCATTGAAGTATCTTCTCAAGGAAGTTTTTGAAAACACCATGTCCCATGAACTGGGATGCCCTTTGACTGAAGCTGGCAAATTCATCACCAGGGAGACCAGCTGTGCATCTTCCAGCCGGGCGTTGAAGCGACTGAGTGCCGTTCGGAAAGGAATGCGCCTTTACTTCTTCTCTGCGGTTGACGAGCTGCGCCGCGATTCAATTGACGGATCGATCAAGAGCATTTGTCAACTCCATGTTGGGGATGCAAGTCGCCCGAGCAGACATCGAGCAGTTCCTCTAGGTGTCATCACCATCCAAGCCAAGCATGTTCGAGCTGCGGAAAGCATGTGCTGCCCCTCTCGACCCCAGGGTGCAAAGCGGCAGCCCAGACTTGCCGAGCTTGTGGCAGGAGCAGCATGGGACGCATTGCCGCTCGCCGAAGGCAGCAGAGGTCTTTGCGTTAGGTAAACCTTGTGCGCTTGCCCTGGTTTTGCACATGCTCCATTTACAACCCTGTTACCGCATATGAATTGGCGGTGTGGATGACACTGCCAGTGACTACAGCCGGAGCGCTTGCGCCTCTTCCACTCAGCCCGCTGACGAAAACCGATCGAAACGAGCCGGCTCCGAGGCAAAGAGCTGCCATGGTGTATCTGCCTGTGCAAAGGGTAGCTCGAGAACTTGTGGAAAAAAGCTGGAAGTTCCAGCCAGAACTGCTTCCGACATTGCCGAAGCATCTCGGCTGCAAGTCACGCGAACCTGGACCCAGAAATTACCTCTGCAGTTTGGAAGACCACCCGAGAAGAAGCGAACAGATGAGCAGCAGCTCCTATCAGTCTCCCGCATCTTCAGCGTACGCTTCGGAGTCCGACAAAAGAATAAGACACGGCCCATACCAGGATGCTTGTGTCATAAAGAGGACCCTTCTTCGCTGGTGTTTCTGCAGGCCACATGGAGCAATTGCGTTCCACTGCAACAGATTTCAAATTACACTGCCGCGACATGGTTTGGCCCTGTGTTTCTAAATTGGGCGGACGCTTTATGGTACGACGGTAGCTCACCTCTCATACCCATGGCACAGCTGGGAAATGTTGCCTGAGCTGAAGTGCTTGGGGTTTCACTCAACACTGAGGTTAAGTCGGGGAAACAGGTGTCTGTGGCGCGTTGTCTTGCCACTTCGTTGAGCAAGACGGAAGTCAAAACACCAAAACATCAGAAATCACCCAGATCATTCTGGGTCTCAGCAGCATTCAAAACCGAAAAAACGCAAAATAAAACCAATCATTGAAAAAGAACAGGTGTTTGCCTGGGTGCTGTGGCACACACTCTGCCCTCTCACCGAAAGCTACCTACAATTCGCAAGACCAGACACAGAAACGACAAAAAGCAATGTGTCAACAGCACCTTCAAAAAACGGGTTTCAAAATCAGAAGATGTGGAGAAAAAGCGAGCGGCCAGGGGAATGCTAGGCTGCAGGATGCTTCCGAACCAAAACAAAATATCCATGTCCGACAAAGCCCTTGGGCAAACCAACAGTTGCTGCTCAGCGAAAATGAGGCGCCTGCAGCCTTTGGGCTTGGAGAAAAGATGTTGTGCCACTGGCAAGCATGGACTCCATTGTCTCCTTTAGCTCTGCAAGACGTCGCGCTGTGTTCGAGACGCTAGCTTTGCCGAGGCGCTGATCACTGAGATCTATGACTACTTCAAGAGTCTCAAAGACCTCGGAGAAGGGCCTGTTTTTCTTCTCCTCAGTGGCTACTAGCCACCCAAGCCTGTTAAACATGGCTCGGACCACAACTTCCACGTGGGGTGCGCTCGCAGCGCGTAGTGAAGTCGTCGAAAAAACTGGTAGTAACCAGAAGGAAGGCCTCGGGCCAATGCGTTAAGCGCCTCGCATCTGAGAAAGGCGTGAACCGCAGCGACTGCTCCGAAGGGCATACTATGCAACTGTGCTGCCCTGACTCGTATGAGGGTACGTGACGAAATCCATGCAAACTTTTTATGCAACACCAAGCTCGACTTGAGGTTTCCAGGTTTGCGCTGAACTCCTTTCCCTCCTTAGCAGTCCGTGCGCCGCCGCCCTTCCAGTTGCCTTTCTTTGATTGCAGAGCAGGCAGACTTGAGAACGAGCCTTATCAGAGAAACACCAGACCGTAATCACAGGCACTGAGGATGGTAAACCGCTCAGCCATGCAGGAGGAACTCTTTTTCCTAACTGCAGGGTTATCGCCATGCAAAACTACACCCCCCTTGCCGATTAGTGGCAATGAGAAGGCGGACCGCCCTGCAACCCCGGAAAACACAACAGGTGCACATCGGCCTCGTCTCGCGACGGGCAAGCGATTGCCCCGCAGGGTCAGGAAATTGTTGATGCTTCCGGGACATGCTCTTGAAGCTGCACGTCAAAGCATACATGAATTCAATTTTGCCGGGGCAAACAAGAGTGCGAAGACTCATGCCCTTATAAACTCCAACGATCGCATCGAATCCGAAGGCGAGGATCAATTGGTACCGTCAGTCGTTAAATCGAAGTGCGGCCCCGGTAAAGCTTGGAGTTGTCACTAAGTGACCAAGTTGGGATTGAGCGATGGATGGTACACCCTTTCTACTTGCGCATTGCAAAAGCAACAATGAGCACCGGCCTCCGCGTGCGGGGCGATTCGGATTTGCCTTTTACACGGCTCAAATGAAAAAGGTAGGTTGAAATTCAGCACAACGAAGAAGCTTTTATCATTGCGTTGGTAAGTTGGTCAAAAGAGTTATTTGCCGCTTGTGATTGAAGGTGGTCTGTTTGGCAGCAGCTGCGAAATGGGGGCAGTGTTCTGGCAAGATTGCGCGCCAAAAGCCTGAAAAGTTGTGACACCCAAAATAGCCAACAATTTTGGCGCCGCCAATCTGAGCTTTCTTCTCTGTGACACACTTTGGAGTTCGAAAAATGAAGCTGTTTTTTGGGAACGCCGTATTTTCTTTTGTGGTGGTTTGTGGCTCTGCAAGCTTGGCACAGGCGGGAAGCGGGATCCTGCCAAGCCACCAGGAAACACACCCACATCCGAAGTGGCAGAAATGAGCTGGGCATCGAATTTCTAAATCAGGCCAGAAACGGTGATCGTTAGGGCCGGTAGGCCCAAAAGACTCCGCTGCACATCCACAAAAAAGTTTGCGTTAAAGTCCGCTTAATGTTTTGTTGTATCCGGCCATAAAACCCAAGCTCCAAGCTTTAGGGTTTAGGGTTTGAGTAGCCGTGTGTGCCGACCGTGCAAGACCTCGCTTGCCCTGCATGCGTGTTTCGGGGGACCCCTAAACCCTAAACCTTAAACCCTAAACTCTAAACCCGAAACCCTAAACCCTAAACCTCAAAACCGTAACCCTAAACCCAAAACCCAAAACCCAAAACCCAAAACCCTAAACCCTAAACCTTAAATCCTAGCAACCTAAGCGAGCGAAGACGAGCAAAGACGCCATCAATGGAACAAATAAGGATTACAAATATGCAGCGTAACAGAGCCGATGAAGATGGATGGGTGATGTTCAAGGGTGCGAGTTGTCAGCAGCTTGTGGTGATAGATGGTTTGTAAGGGGGATGCCGACACCGAGGAGACTAAATACTATGTCAAGAATGTGTCCAACGAGAGGTGTTTCAGCCACGGGTTTAGATACATGAGAGAGTTGCTTGTCCAAGTTCATAGTTAAAGAGCATAATGCGGCATTGTCTTGTGTGAAAACCGCGCGCTGACCATTATAAATATGATGTGGCACGAACCCTTAAACTTGTGAAGGTTGAAGTGAAGTATAACATCGGGTGACGGATGCTGGAAAAGCCCGAAAAGGCAAGACTGCCAACTGATGAGTTCAAACTTTAAATACAATGAGTTGGTTGATGTGCCCCAATCTACAAATGAAAGACTGAGCATAGAAGACGAGTGGGACACCAACACTAACACCCTCTGCCAACAAATTTTAGATTGCGGGAGACCGGTCTACATCGCACGGCCCGGTGACAGCTGCTTTTTCCGTTTCTGTCGCTCTCTTCTCATTTCTGTTTGCAAGCTAAGACAAGTTACATGGAGAGGCGCCTTAGCTCTTGATGGCCTTGACAAGGGACGAATCCCTTTGGGATGCTGAAGCTGAGTACTTCGGCCACGGAGTTTAATGTACACTGCGCTTGCCCGCCTTCCGATTGAAGTTTTGGGCTTAGGGTTTAGCAAGCGAGGGCTTGTTCATCTCAGAAGCAGCAGAGAGTGCTGACATTCAGGATGATGGGTCCTCGTCGGATCCGGAGGGTGGAGAGGATTGGAGTGGGTTGAAGCAACTGATGCATGCTTGGCGTACAAGCTTCTTATGTAAACTGATGCATGCTTCCTATGTCTATGTGCAGGGCACAGTTGGAGCGTGTTTTATTGGTACTTCCGGTGCCTGGCTACAGCAGTTCAACAGGATCATCCACGTGGAGGCCTGTATGCGCCGCTTGCACTTGTGTTTGTCGTGGTCAATGCAGGCAGCGAGCTTCGAGCTCAGGTGGTTCTTGTCAGTCGTTTCTTTGTGCCTGCCCATGATCCTCCGCAGTCTGTCTACTCAAGCACGTGGTTTACACTATGAAATTTTCATAGAAGCGCCATCTGCGCAATGAAGCAGCGACTCTCGATGTCCCTTCTGAAGCAAGCATCTCGGTTGCAGTCTTTGCATCTGGGAAGAGTCCAGGGACCATACTGCGACAAGTCGCTCCAAGTCCAATCGGCCAAAGTTTTGAGGGTTGAGAGAGTCTTTTTACAAAGCCTTGTCAAACCTTAAACCCAAAACGCCTAAACCCTAAACACTAAACGCCTGGATCCTATAAACCCTAAACCCTAAAGCAGGTTGTGTTGCTCCTCCTCAGCGGTTTGCTGACCGAAGGGGCAAAGGTGAAGTCGTTGGACATGGCCATCGGTTGCTTGCCCTGAGCTGAGTACATTATGAGGGTTGATCTAAAGTATGGGCCCTTTGGAGGTCTTTCTGAGAGTATAATCTTATGGTTTAGGGTACCAAAAAGGGCCCACAATTTAGTTCAACTCCCATATAACTGGGGATATAAGGGAGTTACTATAGTGATAACATCCCCTCAGTTTGTGGGGGTCTGGATGGTGACCCTTTGAGGGTCAGGAAATCGGAGGTCTGAAATGGGGTTAGGACCATTATAGACCTTTCCCAGCTTACCCATTTCACGTCAACCCTGAACTGAAGGGTCTAACGACCTTTCTGTTGTGGTCTAGATAGAGAACCAAACCACAGCCAACACCGGCAAGTCCATAACCAACAAGGGGTCTGAAATGGGTTTTTCAAATTATGCCCAGCTCCCAGGAAAAGCCACAGTTGGGGGTCTATAATGGGGCCCCAACCCCACCCCCTCACAAACTGAGGGTGTGTTATAACCCTCTTTGGCGCACATATAACCCTACGTATAATTACCCATGAACCTCCAAGTATCCTCTGGTCTCATGCATCACTGAGCCCATCCTTCTTTGCAGGTTCTGCTGTCAAGCAAGCGCTGCACCCACGGGGAGGCTCAACCCAGATGATGCTGGTGCATTGGCTTGTGCTGAAGTTCTGAGTCGCAGTCGTACTGTAGAGTCTTGGAACCAACAACACGCAGACAGAAAGGAACGATGGAAGGTGCCTCGTTGCCAAGTAGCTGCAAGCCGGCTGGATGTAATTCCAGTCTTGCGTTTCAGGCCATGACGTGCACGCCGCGGAACGTGTTGTTCTGCACAAAGCACGTTCGTCTGACACACCCGCATCCATTGAATCACGGTGTCGCGCATTGCTCGCATTGTCATGTCAGCCCTAAACCCTAAACCCTGAACCCTAAACCCTAAACCCTAAACCCCCTTTCAGTGCCACTCTTCATCACTTTTTCTTCTCGCACTCACATCCTTTTGCTGCAGGCCCAGCCCCAATTGCAGGCCGTCCGAGAAAGCGCTTGTCAGAGCAGGACACGTGTTTGCAGAAATGAGCAAGGGTTTGAGGAAACCATGCGAGTTGGCCATTGAATTGAGCCTTTTGCTGACAAAGAAGGCTTGCGACAACTTACTGTAAGGGGAGTTTAGCAGGTAATGTGCTTGTGCGTGTGGGTATCCTGTACCTAAGTCAATGTTAACACATGAGGTTCTTTGGCATGCAGGATTTGGGTTTTTATCTCTTTGCCGCGACCAATGTAGCCTTCACTGTCTGTGATCGCAGTCAGAGCCAGGCTACCGACAGATACTTGGTTCAACGAATGTACCGACACGTGTCGACCATCTCAATGCACAGAGTGGAGGGGGCTTACTTGAAGGTTCATGGGTAGTTAAAAGTAGGGTCATAAGTACCAAATAGGGTTATAACTATAGTTACCCTACTTAAAAAGCCAGTTATATCTACCCATGAACTTCATGAACCTCCAATGCCTTACATCTACTTGGAGGTTCATGGTACTTGCTAACCAATTATAAGCAGGGTTATAATTCCAGTTATAATTGGTTAGTACCATGAACCTCCAAGTAGCAGCATCTAGCAGGTCTGTAGGACAAGAGCTCGGCGTCCCGCGCCTGAAAATACAGCTTTTCTTTCGCAAGCAAAGTCGATGCCTGCATCGTTGTCGTCACATTCGATTTTGCAACATCCAAGTAAAAGTGAGTGAGAGTGTGAGTGAGTCCATGTATGTTTGTGCGCGCGCTTCTGTGTCTGTGGTCGTGTTCAACGGCACACCTGCTGCGTGACTGATTGCAGGAGATTCAAGACATGCTGGCCCTGGCCCGTCCGGGAGGAGATGGGCTCAGTCGCATTGAGGTCAGGCGAATCCAGAAAAAGGATCCAGCCACAGGGGAAGAGTATGACAGCATCTTCTGGAATGAGACCTATGACAAGGAAGGCACCAACATTTGTCAGCAGGAAGGGGGTCGTTTCAGACCTTCCGCAGCGATTCTTCAGAAAGCGAGGCGGCTTCTCCAAAGCGATGCGGGTCTTCTGCTATCCAAGGCCGTTGCAGCATATGTTCGATTGGCTGAGTACTTCGGGCAGGAGCTCTACCACATGGAGGCCGAGATCGGATCCTTCGCCCATAGTTGAACTTTAACGCTTTTGGGTTTCCTTCTTCTGCAATAGTAATATCCAATATATATATATATATATATGGTCACCCCCCCCCCCCATGATCCACACCTATGGTTTTCCTGTCTTCGTCTTTGTCTGATTTTCTGCTTTTTCCTCGGAAAAAATGCAGTAAAAACTGTACTGGAACACAAAAGGCTCTTTTATATTATCCTCTATAAAAACACTAGTGTTTTTTATGTGCATTTTTGCTTCTGAAACGTCTAGCCATTTAGAATTTTGAGGCTTTTCAGGGTTTAGGGGTTTTTTAAAGTTTAGATGATCTGCGGAAGGCACCGGGGCTTCCCCAGACCATTTCAAATTTTAAAACCCTTAAAATCCTTAATTGTTTTTGAACGGGCCGCCCTTTTAAAATTTTAAGGGCTTTAAGGTATGTAAAGCCATTCAAAATTTTCAGGATTAGAAGGCTTTAAAGTCCTTAAATCCTGAACACTTTTATCCCTTAAAATTCTAAAATACCTCAAAATTTTAAAAGGGCAGCCGTTCAAAATTAAGGAAGTTACGGGTTTTAGAATTGAACATCCTAAAATCCTGTCCTGTTAAAGGGTTTGTAAAAATTTTCATGGCCTGGGGAAGGCACCGGGGCTTCTCCAGACCATTGCCAACTAACTTTAAAAACCTTAAAATCCTAAAAGGGCAGCCACATAAATGTTGAAGCATTTTAAGGTTTTTAAAAGGCTTTAAAGCGTTCAAAATCCTGAGAATGTTTCAACAGAATTTAAGGATTTTTTGCAAGATTTTAAGGATTTAAAAAGTTCAGATGGTCTGGGCAAGCCCCGGTGCCTTCCCCACACCATTTAAATTTCTAAAAGGTTTTTGAAAAATGGTCTGGAGGGGCCCCGGTGCCTTCCCCAGATCATTTAAAATTGAAAAAATCCTTGAAACCCTTAACCCTAAACACCAGACCCGAAACCCTTAACACTAAACCCTAAACACTCAGCACTAGGCACTAAACACTAACCCTAAAAACTAAGAGCACTTAGCACAAACCCCAAGCACTTAACACGAAACCCTAAACGCTTAAGCACTAAACCCTAAACACTAGACCCTAAAAACTTAAACACTACACCCTAAAAACTAAACCCTAAACATTACACACTAAACCCTACACACTAAACCCTGAACACTAAACACTAAACCCTAAACCCTAAACGGCAGGATTTTTAAAGTTGTCAATGGTCTGGGGAAGCCCCGGTGCCTTCCCCAGATCATTTCAATTTGTAAAAATCCTTAAAACCCTTAAAACCCTTAACCCTAAAACCAAACCCGAAACCCTTAGCACTAAACCCTAAACACTCAGCACTAGACCCTAAACACTAACCTTAAAAACTTAACACTAAGCCCTTAGCACAAACCCCAAACACTTAACACGAAAGCCTAAACGCTTAAGCACTAAACCCCAAACACTTAAACACTGCACCCTAAAAACTAGACCCTAAACAGTACACACTAAACCCTACACACTAAACCCTAAACACTAAACAGAAAACACCAAAGCCGGAACCTCAATCCCTACTAAATCTAAGTCTAAACCTGAAACCAAAAACCCGTCGGGGTTTCGGATGCTTACTGTTTGGATTTTAGAGTTTAGGGTTTATTTCGTTTAGGGTTTTAGCCAAGCCGCTTGACCCTAAATCTAAACCTTAAACTTAACACTCAACCCTAAACACAAAACACTAAACCCTGAAACCTACACACTAAACCCTAAACATTGAACACTGAACCCTAAACCCGAAACAGCAAATCCTGAACCGTAAACCAACCCCAAACCAAAAAAAAAGGGGTTTCAGTCCTTCAGGGGGTTTAAAACCTCATCATCATAAAGTTTAGGGTTTTAGACATTATCCAAGTCGCTTAACCCTAAACCCTAAAAAGTAAACCCTAAACCTTTAAAACCAAAACCTAAACACTAGACCCTAAACACTAAACACTGCACCCTAAACACTAAACCCTACAAACCCTCAACAATAAACACTAAACCGTAATCCCTAAACGTGCACATGGAGAATTTGGGCCCCGGACTCCATATGCACCCGGGCCCCGGACTCCAGACTCCAGATTTCCAGAAAAAATCTGGAGTACCCCCAGACTCCAGACTCCAGATTTCCAGAACAAATCTGGACTCCAGACTCCAGATTTCCAGAAAAAATCTGGAGTACCGGGGCCCCGGACTCCAGACTCCAGATTTCCAGAAAAAATCTGGAGTACCGGGGCCCCGGACTCCAGACTCCAGATTTCCAGAAAATATCTGGAGTACCGGGGCCCCGGACCCCAGATTTCCAGAAAAAATCTGGAGTACGGGGGCCCCGGACTCCAGACTCCAGATTTCCAGAAAAAATCTGGAGTACCGGGGCCCCGGACTCCAGACTCCAGATTTCCAGAAAAAATCTGGAGTACCCGGGGCCCCAGACTCCAGATTACAGACTCCTGAATCTGGAGTCCAGGGTCCCGGTACTCCAGATTTTTTCTGGAAATCTGGAGTCTGGAGTCTGGAGTCTGGAGTCTGGAGGTACTCCAGATTTTTTCTGGAAATCTGGAGTCTGGAGTCTGGAGGTACTCCAGATTTTTTCTGGAAATCTGGAGTCTGGAGTCTGGAGATACTCCAGATTTCTTCTGGAAATCTGGCGTCTGGAGTCTGGGGGTACTCCAGATTTTTTCTGAAAATCTGGCGTCTGGAGTCCCCCCCCTCCCAAAACCAGCCTTCCCGAGGCCAAATGTCTGGATCATGGCGGGGGGGGGGGGGGGGGCGAGCATATATATATATATATATATATATTTATTTTACTTATTTATTTATTTATTCACATATATATATATGAAGAATCATAAGAACAAGAACCCCAGTAGAGTTTAACAACCTTTTTTTTCCTTTAGTTGTGTTGGTGACGTGAGGATCCCCTCTGCCGAAGGAAGAGGCGCACGGAGAGAAGCTCGTGACTAGTGCCCAGAGTAGGGCCCTTATTGCCTTTTTTGAGGGGTTTAGGGTTTAGGGTTTACGGGATGGGGTTTAGGGTTTAGGGTTAGGGTTTGGGGTTTAGGGTTTAGGGTTTGGGGTTTAGGGTTTAGGGTTTAGGGTTTACTCTTGGGCCTAGGTGATGATGTCCACGGATTGGTCAGACAAGTTGAATGCCATGCTGCAACTGGAAGGTAACTAGGATTGGCCCAATTGGGATATATATATATATATATATATATGTTTTTTTTTTTTTCTATTTTTGTCTAGTTGGGATAATATTGATCTGTTTATTTTCTTTTATATTAGATTTTCTATCTTTTCATATTTTGGCATATTGTAGATCTTCTCTCCCTAGCTGGGTGGAAGTTGCTCTGATTTAGGAATCCATTATTTTTTTTCAGAGGGTTAGAGGGGCCCACCTAGGTAAGGAGCCATGCCCAAACAGCGCCGAATGGCTTCTTGTTTGCATCAAGAGGACGAACTGCCTTTTGGAGAAGGCTGCAGAAGCCGACCCCCATGGCCTCACTCCTGGCCGAATGGCTACGTTTTTGGAAGTAGAGAAAGAGGTCACGGATCACTACGATGAGTTTGCCATTCAGGCCAAGCTTGACATGCCCCACATGCCTGGCCTTTGCGAGCAGGAGGAGGACAGCATGGTAATTCCTACCGCCTCGCTGCTGCAATCGGAAAGTGTGGCAGCGGCGGCGAACAGTGAACGGCACAGCCGTGCCGTGGCTGCTGTTTTACACACGCAGCGTGCAGCGGCAAGGACAGCACGGGCCCTCTCGGACCATACGAGATTGCACCTGCTGGAGGCATCATTCTTCACACACACCTGGAAGAAGGCCTGCGCTCCCAGCCACACAGTCTAAAGGTGTCTAAAGCATGGCAGACTAGGAGTCATGCGAACTAGTCGAAAATGTTCAAGTTTTCAACATCAAAGCTAGGCAACGCGGCACCGATTCTACGCCGTTCTGCATACCCCGAGTACTGCGTAACATGGCCTCTCTCACCCCTCTAATTCTGACATCAGTGTGGGTCTCTTTCGGCTCTTACGCAGGCATGCGAGCTCATCGGGTGCTGGACCACCTCCTTTGTCGATATCATGGATGCGTCCGCCGGACATACCGCAGAGCTCGTGGACGTGAATGCATCCTGGCACGCGGTGAAGACCCACCATGTAGCCTTCATGCAGTTCAGGACCTCCGTATGGGAGGCCATGAATGCAAGCGCTGCCTTCCATGAGAACTTCAGCAGCTTCATCTACGAAGCTGGTCGGACAAAAGGAGCGAGGCGGACGGATCCCATTTACAAAGAGACGAGTGACGTGCTGTCCACCGTGCTGGCCCTGGAGAGGGAACATGATGTGGGGCAGAGTGGGAGGAGAAGAAGAAGAGGACGAAGACGAAGAAGGTCCGTGGATATTGATGAAATGGGTGGCGAAATCGAGCAGTCAGGGTGGTGGTGCCAAGGCTGACTGGGCTGACTCTCCTTATGCTTAGTTTCGGGATAGCAACCGAAAACGAGCCGCGGTTCTTGCACTGCATAGGCTTAGTGTAGCAGCCATTTCAGGTAAGTCCCTGAACGAAAGGGTATGCACAAGGTCGTAGGGCCAAGTAGAGTAACTTGGTAAACCTTTGTTCTAACAATGGGGGTGATTTGGGATGGGATGCCCCCCACAAGTTAGGTGCTTCAGCTGGCGGGCCGGCTCCATGACGGCCCACCAGAAGAAATTCCCCAGCGCGACGGCGACCTGGGGAGCAGAGGTGGGTTTCACCATGACTGTGGGCGACCCCACGGACTATGAGGCATGGCTCGAGGCCCATCTTCCAAAAACAAATTTTTCGTGAATTCCGTGCTTTTTCTATGTCGATCGCAACAACAGTTTGACTTACCCAGGCTGCGGAAGGGGAGGAGCCGGCTGTCTTTGAGATAGGAGTCACCCTGACTATTGGCTATGTTCCTAGTCTTCCGAGCGGGCAAGGAGTGCGGTCTGGCGTGTCAGTGGGTGGAGTCTTGGAGCTCAACACAGCTGGCCCTAAAGTGACCATCACAATGGGGCTTGGCACGAGCGCGGTGCAGGGTCAAGCCAGGGCGTCTGCATGCAGCCCCAGGAAAGCGAGCATTGGCCCCTTCAAATGCCTAAAAAGTGTGGCTGCCGCGTTCACCCTCTTCTGCAAGGACTTCGACTTTTCGACCGGTGACAACGATGCTCCGGACAATGACCCATGCGCCAAAGACGACAGAGTGTATTCAGAGTTTGAGGATGGGCGGCGGAGAAGCAGGAAGTATGTGCGCCGGCGCCAGCACAGCATGGAGGGGCAAGGTCAGACCACTGAGGAGTCGCAAAGCGATTGCCGCGAGCGCTGCAATAATGTGGCGGGTTGCGCGCATTACTCTTTCTGGCCACGTAATGGTAATTGTGAGCTCCAATCCAGCAATTCTGAGCTCACCCGGAGCTACAGAGGAGCAAAGACTGGTCCCCCAGTGTGCTGTGCCGTGTCCGGGGTTTGGTGGGCAGAGGATGAGAACAGGCGCCGGCGAGCAAACTTAGATGAAGACACACCAAAAGATGTAACCAAGCACATCAGAAGGCGGCGCGATGGGGGGTCCGAGAGTACCTTAGAGAAATGCCAAGAGCGATGCCAAAACGTGGCCGAATGTCAACATTTCACCTACTGGTCAGATGGCAAGTGCCGCTTTACAGGTTCCTGGATCATGGTTGAAAATCATTTTGTACATGTTTGATGTATACTTAAACCAAAAAAATAACAAGAGTGAGCATTTTATATATAAAGCTTCCCCAACAGTGGTGCAGGTTCGAGTGCCAAGAAGTATTATGGCCATGGAGAAAGTCCCCAGGCATCAGGGCCGAAGTATTGCGAAGCATGAGGCAGATGAAACTGAAATTGCCCATGGAAAAAAGATGCCAAAGGGCAATGGACGGCAATTGCGTTGTTGTGCTTGTCATGCTGGTAGCTGCGGCCAAGCACTGGCCATGACAGATGCTTCTTCTGATTCTTCTGAGTAGGGCTGAGTGAGCATGGAGTGAAGCAGCCACGTTGCATGCGCTTGCGCATGGGTACACGCTCTCTTCAAGAGGATTGAGCGCTTTAAAACATTTTGCAGGTCACATCTTCGCTGGAACAGGATACTGAACCATCGCCGGAAGCAAGTTTGCGTTTCGGCTTCGAGGGGGTTGACACGGCCTGCAGCTTGTAGCGATGCTCTGATGGCGGCTTCTCAGGCGGACTCTTGCCTTTTCCTGTCTGCTTCAGTGTGGGTGGAATGAACGCTCAGCCCTGATCAGGCGATCTTGTCTTTTGCCAATACCTTTCGCCTGGAACTAAGCTGTAGCCTTCTGCGATTGAGCCAGTGCTTGTATGTTGCATGCTAGCAGGGTTTTAAGGTCTATGATTTATGGGATATGGTGGTACGTGCGAGTAGGTGAAGTGTGGCTTCTGAACCTTGCACCAATCTGCAAACAGGCCCTGCAAGTTGTCACGACTGTGAGTGGAGCTTATGGCAACAGCCGGGTTGCGTTGCCAGCTTTCCCGGGGATTGGGTAGGTAACCTTCAACACTTTTGGTTATATAGAATCCTACTCTCTTTGTCTATATATATATGTATATATGTATATATATATATATATATATAATGTTCACCTTTCTTTGGCTAGCGTATTCAGCCCACAAGCTCAGGTGATGCTGCGATGCACGGTCATTGGGCAGACGCCAAAGCTTCTGCGGTGTCGCTGGCAGTTGCAGCGGCCTGGCAATCGAATATTGACAGCCGGCTGAAGTTGGGCCCGGCCTGCGAGAGACAGAGTCATGGCAAGGGCGCAACGACAAGTCGGGCTATGGGGTTTAGGGTTTATAGAGGCTTTGTTCGTCAGCTTCGGCCTTCGATACAGCCCTAATCCCTAAACCCTAAACCCTAAACCCTAAACGCTAAACCCTAAACCCTAAACCTAAACCCTAAACCCTAAACCCTAAACCCTAAACCCTAAACCTAAACCCTAAACCCTAAACCCTAAACCCTAAACCCTAAACCCTAAACCCTTGTAAGTGCCCTCGAACCCTTCGAGGCACCTGGCGCGGCCGGTGGCGACCTGGAAATCTCAGGCACTTGGAGGTTCATGGGTACTTAGCACCTCGTTTAGGGTTTAGGGTTTAGGGTTTGGGGTTTCAGGTTTAGGCCCCTAAGTGTAGGTCCACAACCTACTTAGGACTTATCGGGGGCCTTCTCAGTACAGCTATAGCTGGGGTTATAAGTAGCCCAATTAACGTACTTCTAGAGGATTTTGGGGCCTTATCAGTACAGTGAATTACTTTGGGTTCTAAGTACGTGAAAAGTTTTGGGCTCCAAGTATGCAGGCAAGAGGAGGAAAAATGTCCCCATGTCCTGGCGCCATCAAACCCTTAACCCTAAACCCTAAACCCCAGACCCCAAACCCTAAACCCTAAACCCTAAACCCTAAACCCAGAAAGGCTCCAGAGACGCTCGCTCCGCTGAAGTGCTTTGGGTGGCAGCTTCCACGGCCCCCGCCTCAGAGTGTCCAAAGCGGCAAAACCCCAAGCCCTTGAAGGGGTTTAGGGTTTAGGGTCTAGGGTTTAGGGTTTAGGGTTTAGGGAACCCTCCATAGACGCCTGCAACCCTGAGCCGTACTGAAACGAGGCCCGAGCCGGGTTGGTGAAGGTCCTGGCCGCTTTCTCCGCGCGCCAGCGGCCTTGGGATGATGTGGGGTTTGCGGACATTCGGGTCAAGTTGGGGGTAGAATCGTGTGCAAGGGTATCAAGGATGTTGCACGGTGAAAAGGTAGAAGCTCTGATCCCATGCTGTCTATGCTCACGAGCACTGAACACCCCGAAGCCCACACCTCAAAACCCAAACCTGAAAAGCGTAAAGCCTGAAAGTAGAAACCCTAAACCCTTTACCCTCAACCCTAAGCCTTAAACCCTAAGCCATCCTAAGCCCTAAACCCCAAGGCCCTGCATCCTAAGCCTAAGCTCTAAACCCAAAGCCCTGTTTCAGTCTGAGCAGTCCGCTGAGGCGCGGCTCGTGGCCCCTCACGGGAGCTAGCGTTGGCCACCGCCGCTGGCTGCACGGCGATGCTGCCAGAGGCCGGCATTCCTTTCATGGGATTGATTTGGTTTAGGGCTTAGGGCTTAGGGTTTAGGGTTTTGGGTTTAGGGTTTAGGGCCACCAAAAGAGCCCGCATGTTTTGAGTACACCGATGAGGTCCTCTGCCTCTTTTGCTGGGAGGTTTCATGGGTTTAGGGGGCTTAGGGCTTGGAGACCCTGCAGGTTTGAGGTTCAAAGACTTCTTAGTCTTCCGTGCCTCTTTGCCGAGGCCTGGCCTCCGGGTGCTGCGGAGGACTTGCTAGGTCCATCGCCAGAGCACGCCAGAGAGACATAGGTCCTTGGGGTCGGAAAAATTACTAATGGTGTTTTCCTTATGGTCCCTTTATCATTATACTCCAATAACCCCCGAAACCCTATGCTAATTCTTAAGGCCCCTATATTTAGTAGCCCTAAGCCCTAAACCCTAAACCCTAAACCCTAAACCCTAAACCCGAAACCCGAAACCCGAAACCCTAAACCCGAAACCCGAAACCCGAAACCGTAAACCCTAAACCCTAAACCCTAAACCATCTTGGGGTGGCGAGTGGTGTTGAGGCATGTCCGGTGTCATGGCACTGCTGCTTCGGGCCGCTGCGCTCGGTGTGCGCTCGAAGCCAGGCTGGCGCTGAGAACGGCGCAGTAGAGGGGGGTTAGGGTTTAGGGTTTAGGCTTTAGGGTTTTGGGGTTGGGTTTAAGGTTTAGGGTTTAGGGGCCCCACTAGTCACCCGCCAGCCACGGCAGTTACTGATGCAAATGCCAGGACATGCCAAGGGCCAGTAAACACCAGACCCACCTAAACTCGAACTGTTGCTCGTACTTCACAGAGGGTCCATTGGACCCTAGACCCTGAATTTCAATCAGGGGAACACGGGGCCCCGTTGCCAATAGCGGACAGCAGGTTTGGGTGGCTTCGCTGCGCTACGAGCGGCGGCCTGAAACGGACGTGCATATATATATATATATATATAGATATAGATGTATATGTGAAAAAACATGCACACATACGCTGCTATATATATATATATATCTATATATCATATGTATATACATATATAGAGTATATAATACACTGTACAATACGATACGATACTATACTATACTCTACTATACTCTAATATCATATCACATAATATGTTTTTTTAGTAAAGTGCATAGTAACTTCTCAACAACAGATAGTATGTTATATGTATATACATATGAGATTTTTATCATATGTTACACGACACGCTATATGCGACATGACAGATTCTATATGGTATCTTCTATGATCATATATGTATATGTGTATATGCATGTTTTAATTTTTACTTGTATGTCTATCATAGTATGTAATACTGTCTTGAAGGAAGCGATCCGATGGGAGCCTTTTCCTGCCAAGGCCTCGCGAGCAGCGGGGGAACTCCTGGCGGCGAATGTCTCAGTTGCATCATATCATGTCTCTCAGTTGTTGCAACTGCCGGCTGCACGAACGAACTTTCCGTGCCTGCTCGGAGCATTGGCAAGGCTGTCTTGGAGGCAGCAGTACCCGAACTTCGCCACTCTTCAGAGGCCCCCTCCCGACCTTGAGGCATTTAGGGAATCTCAGAACTTCTGCGGCTCCTCCGTGAGAGGCCTCGCTGTTTCGGGATTCGTCCCTCTCGTCGCCTATGCAAGCTCTTGTGGCCGCACTGCCGCACACTCAGTGAAAACTGTGCTGCACCTCCGCTTCTTGCTGTTGCTGGCTGCAGCAGTCGCTGGGTTGTGTTTTCCGACAAAACACTTCACTTAACATGAGGGTTTCTCAACAATAGGGGGCCTTCTTGGGCGTCCGAAAAAGGGAGTTCTTGTGGTTTTTTGGGGGACCCAACTTTGGGAAACAACCATACAAACAACCTTAAACCCTCAACCCAAAGCCCCAAACCCAAACGCTAAACCACAGGGGGGGGTTCTGAGATTTGCAGCGTTCAGCTGGAACACCGGAACCGTAAAATTTCCCCTCCCTCTCCCCCCCCCCCCAAAAAAAAAAAGAAACAAAACAAACAAGACTGAAAATGGTGAAAAGCGGGCTCTTGCGCTTGAAGGTCGTTGGGTTCTTTGGGCAGCTTTGAGTGCCCCTGAAGGCTGAGTGAGACCCCAGATCCTCGCCTGCATGAGGCCGGGGCATCCCGCGAGCTCTCTGTCCCTTGTAGCCTGAGTGGGAAGCCTGACGTTGCTCAATCTCAAGCTTCAAACCGTAGCAGGCTGCAGCCCTGCAAGCTCTGAAGCCCTCAACCTCCCTGAAGCTCATGTCGCGCAGTTTCTGTGACACCAGAGCCCTAGACCCCAAACCCTAAACCCTAAACCCTAAACCCTAAACCCTAAACCCTAAACCCTAAACCCTAAACCCTAAACCCTAAACCCTAAACCCTGAACCCTAAACCCTAAACCCCAAACGGCTTGTGTGAGGCTTTAATTGAGATCCTTTGGCGCGGCTTGCGGCGGGTGGCCTCGGGCGCCGCGCTGACGTCCCTGGCCTCGGTGCACCCTGTCTGGGGCTGAGAGCGCCAGGGTTTAGGGCTTAGGGTTTAGGGGGTTTTAGGGTTTAGGGTTCATCTTCCATTCCGGCTTACGAGTTTTCTTAAACGGGAAATCGGGAGTCAGGAGCCTCGCGCTCCATCGGGGGTCCTCGTTCCTTCTGCTGAAGCCACAAGAACCCTTGACTAAGAACCCACAAGAACCCACAAGAACCCACAAGAACCCATAAGAACCCATAAGAACCCATAAGAACCCAGAAGAACCCATAAGAACCC